GAAAATGAGGCAATCACTTGATGAAATTGTTCATGATCTATCCTATATCCAGATATCTAAGCCGTCAATATACTCATTTTAATATCTAAGAGAAGCATCATGAAAGCATCATTGGACAGCCAACAATAGCCATTACTAACTAAAATACACCAAGTAGACAGAGTAAAGAAATGCTACTGGTTGTGAGTTATTTCACATGTTTTGAACAAAATCAAAATTTTCTTCATTACTGACTTTTAAAACCATCAATCCAAAACATACAAGGGCGGAGACAACAAACTTAGTCGTTTAGAACTGATTCATATTTAGACAAATCTGGTGAGCGAAAAAATACCAAACGTAACATGCTACGATTTAATGACTAAACAGGGTGAATGCTTACTATTACCAAAATCTGATTAACGAGGGGAGGCTTTTAATATTCAAATATTCATCAAACCACTTCAAAAAGACATTTAACATACAGATTTGTGGGCAGCAATCACATTCCAAACTATATAACTTAAAGATTTTTTAGCTAGAAAGAGTGAACACAACAAACTACAGCTAGTAAATTGGCATGATGAACAAATTTGACATGACTCGAATGGTCTTAACTATCCATGTCTAGAATAACATAATTTAGACAAGGCATGTTAATAGTTTAACTATAACATGATGAATCTATCATTAGCATAATTGGTTGACCGGAAGTTTTAGACTTGATCATTCGAAACAAATCCCACATTCGTCTTAATGTTTCAAAGAAAATCACATGATGCATTCTGAAAAAATCTGAAACTAGTTAGAAGAGGCTGACTGAATACTCCCTTATATACAAAATTCTTAATTTCAACAGACAAACCATAAAGGGTGTGATTTCTTACATTTTTATTGCACTCAATGGTTGAAGCTCATATCACATCCCTTAAAAGGGTTTATCAATGACTCAGTCTGCACACATCTCATACTAATGTTGTTTATTAATGATGGCAAAAGAAAAAAAAAACAGGGAGGAGGGAATCGTACATGGTCTAACGAAATGGGGAGACACATTCATCATAATCACACATTTAAACTAGCGACAATAATATACAAACAATTGCATTCACATTTATTTAAAAGAAATGAAAGAAAATGCAAGAACAAGCAGTAACATATTTCAACCTAAACAGGAATGATATATAAACAAAAATTGGTTGAACCAAATACTGACCTTGTATGGAGCAACAAACTAAGGCTCGACGTCAAGCGCTTTCAACTTCAAACTTCCTCCTAAATTCTAACTTAAAACAGAAAGTAAAAGGACCAGAAAAGAGGAAAACTTTTGAACTCTAAAAAAACTTGAAGTGTGCAGCGATTTTTGCTCTCTTTTTTTGGGGTAGTTCTTGATTGACTCTTGGATTTTCTCCTTGATTTTCCAATATCCCTTATGAGAACCAAATGGTTCCCTTTTATAGCTAATTTGGGCTCCAAGAATTCAAATTTTGAATTCTTGAAAACCCCAATTCCATAGCAAACAAGAAATCAATTATGAAGGAGAAGAAAAACCTCTCAAAAATCAATATTTTTAGGTCAATTTGAGAGGGTTGAGCGACTAATGGAGCATATCCGGCGGCCAAGAGCCGTTCTCTGACGAAGGGGATGGGGGAGCACGTGGGGGAGGCCATGGGGGCCATGGGAGAGGAGTTTGGAGCGTCATTCTTTGGGGAAGATGAAGAGGCGTCATGGGGAAGAAGAACATGATCTCTGAAGAAATACAGAGTATAGGGCGGTGGTGGTAGAGTAGGGGTCTAAAAGTCTTAGGTTTGATCTCGTCCGTCCGATCGTTCAATCGGACGGTTAATAAAATAAAGGGGTTTTTTAAAAAAAGAATTAATATATATATATTAAAAAAGATAAATTAATTAAAGCCTTTGGATTAAATCGGATGGTTGAGATCAATTATGAAGAAGCACAATCCATGTGCTTCTTATGTGGCACGCGTGGATTTGCCGAATTAAAAGACTTGGATTGCCAAGTTTTGTTCAAATTAAATTTATTCAAATTATAACCTCTTCTTTATTAAATAAACATAGTTTATTAAATTAAAAATAATAATTTTGCAAAACTAGCCTATTTGTTAAAATTAGTGATTCTAAAAAATAAAATTAATATAAATTAGCAACTCATTAATTAATTAAGTTTTTTCCTAATTTTGAAAAAAATGTCAAAAATTTTTTATCGCTATAATAGAAATTATATTTAATTAGAAAAATTGAGTTAACCCTTAAAAAACAATATATATTTGACGTGAAATTTAAAAATGAGAAACTAAGTAGTAATATTGATATAATATGTTTATTTTTTTTTTTAATAAAAATAGTATTTATGAAGTAAATTTATCAAATAAAATAAATAATTATAAAATCCTTTTTTTTTTTTACAAAAATTCATAGCATATATATATCTTATTTTTATTATTATTTTTATTATTATTTTATTATTATTATTATTATAAAACTTTAGTTAAACAAATGTGGAGAGCCAAAATTAGGTGTCAACAACTTTCCCCTTTCTTTGTCCATGGAATAGAATAGAGAAGACGTGGACAAAGAAACATTGACATGATCCAATTTTAGGCGACCCAATAAAATACACCTTGAGCAAAACTAGGCAAGAAATGTTTATGGAGTTATGGTCGAACTCTGGCTTCTGAGTTGCCTACATATCTCAGGTTTCATGAGAAATCAAGCCATATGTAGTTCGGAAGTGTAGGAACATAAAATTTATTTAAAAAAACTTTGCCCCAGTATCGACTTATGGTAATACTGAAATGATTTGGTGGTGAGGTTTGAAGAGATTGGCACGAATAGAGGGACGATAAATAGTTTTAAAGAACAAGAATAAGAAATGCTCCGTAGCAATTTCTACTGGAGACTTATGGTAGAGGGATGATTTTTTAAAAAAAGAATGCCCTAATGTCGGGTTATAATGAAGTGAGACCTGAGAGAGTTATTTGAACTTTTGAAAATCGAGTCGAGTTGAGTTTTGAAAGTGAATCCTTGACGTAGCTAGTGATGCTTGACATCGCACTAACTTGCCCTAGTTTGCTGCTTAGAGGGAGTTCCTCGTTGTAATGCGTTATCCTGCAAAACTTATGAATTGAAATTGGAATGTAAAGAGTAGAGTGTAGATGTCCAAACGATTGTTGATGTCCCCGTTTTTTGTGTTGTGAATGTGATGTAGGTAAAGTAACTTGTAATGTAAAGGCCCTCGACTGGTACGACTTTTGTAATGTAAAAGTTTGTATCCGGCTGTGTAAAGCTTGTAATGTAGACCTCCGCTTGGCGGGGATGTTGTAAAGCAAAAGCTTGTATCCAGCTTTGTAAAGCTTGTAATGTAACATGTTATTGTTAGTGTATGAAAGTGTCATTGTGCTTGCGTGCCCCCGATCGGTGGAGCTTCGGTGACGTCACTACAATATTCACTATGTACAGCCTTAGATTGGCGGAGTTTGATGATGTTTGCTATGTACAGCCTCCGGTTGGCGTAGTTTGACGATGTTTGCTATGTACAACCTCCAATCGGTGGAGTTTGAGGACATTTGCTATGTACAACCCCATTCTTGTGGAGTTTGACGATGTTAGATGGTGGTCTCCGATTGGTAGAGTTGTTGATGAGGTTAGATTACAAGCTCCAGTTGGTGGAGTTATTTTGACAGAAATCTAATTATTCTATTTTCCTACGAGGGCCCTCTTTTCTTCAGCATTTCATCCGGATCTTGAGTGTACCTACAAAAAATTTAAATAAAATATTCTTAGACATAAGATGCAAGTTGAAGTACTTCCGGGAAATAAAGTAGGGAAATAGTATTTTGGCTCATGATTGTAGAGGTCGAGTGGCTCCTCCGGTCGTGCCCCAAGACTTGATGTTATTTTCTTGATTCATGTGTTCCTGCGCTCAAAGAAAATTTTTAGTTTGGGAGGGGGTGTTAATTTGTATCGACTCGCGGATTGAAACCTCATCACTGGAAATTTTCAACGTCTTCTTAGCATGCACATAGTTTTTTAACCTATAGACTTGGTAGGTGGAAGAGTAGAAAAAACTTTTGAAAAGAATTAGCTTTTTTTTATTTTTATTTTAAGAAAATAAGTATATTACTTATATATTAGGTATATATGTATGTAGTAATTCTCCAGCGTTTTTAGATTATGACATGTTCTGAAGTCCACCGAGCTTTCCGTTTTGTTGACTATATCCAACATAGTCTTCTTGTAGCTTTTACCCTCATGCTGAAGCTTGTCTAGCTCTTTTGCAGACAATGCGATGATCGAGATTCTTCATATTCTGAGGTTATGCTAACTATGAGGAAGTGTTTCCTAAGGGTAAGAAAAAAATAGAAATTATGCAGTGCATTGATCGAGCCTAACTCAGGCTGCATATGTATCCCCAAAGTAGGAATTAGATCGTAACGTAGTTCGAATACAAGTGGGAGAAATAGAAGTATGTAATACAATGATCGAGCCTGACTCAAGCTGCCTACGTACCCAAGTGGAATCAGGTCAGGACGTAGTTCAAATACAAAAGGAAAGTGAAAAATATGAAATGCAATGACCGGGCCTGACTCAAGCTGCCTACGAATCCGAATGGAATCAGGTTGTAACGTAGTTCAATTACAATAGAAGACTGAAAATATAAAGGAAAAGTAAGAAACATGCAATGGAATGACTGAGCATGACTCAGGCTGCCTACGTATCCAAGTAGAATCAGGTCAGGACGTAGTTCAAATACAACATGGGAGAGTGAAAAATATGAAATGCAAGGGACCGAATCCGACAAGGATTGCCTACGTATACCACCGAGGAAATTCAGGTCGAGCGTAGCTCTAAATACATGGAAATGATGATTTTGGGTTTTCTAAGGGAGATCGGATCCGATGTGAGTTGCCCACGTACCCCGCCGTGGGAAGTCTGGTCTAGACGTAGTTTTGTTACAATAAAATGCAAAAGTACAAGAAATAAGCACTAATCTTGAAGTCTTCAGATGTAGTATTTCTTGATGGCGTCTGAATTGATTGGCTTTGTGCTCACTCTGCCGTCCATTTCTGCTAAGATTATCGCACCTCCTGAGAGTACTCTATGAATCATGTAGGGTCCTTGCCAATTTGGTGCAAATTTCCCTTTGGCTTCTCCTTGGTGAGGAAAGATCTTCTTCAATACTAATTGCCCAGGTGTGAACCGTCGAAGTTTGACTTTCTTGTTGAATGCTTTGGTCATTCTGTTTTGACAGAGTTGGCCATGACAAACTGCGTCCATCCTCTTTTCATCGATGAGCATCAATTGTTCATGCCTGCTACCTATCCATTATGCATCGTCCAGACCAACCTCTTAGATAATCCTTAAAGATGGTATTTCCACCTCAGCAGGTATTACTGCTTCCGAACCATAAACCAACATATATGGAGTTGCCCCAGTTGATGTTCTGATCGTGGTGCGATAACCAAGTAAAGCATATGGTAGATTCTCATGCCATTGCCTGTGACTGTCCACTATTTTCCTTAGGATCTTCTTGATATTCTTATTTGCACCCTCAACTGCTTCATTCATCTATGGCCGGTAAACCGTGGAATTTCGATGAGCAATCTTGAACCTTTCACAAGATTTCCTTCATAAGATCGCTGTTGAGGTTGGATACATTGTCTGTTATGATTGATTCTAGAATTCCAAACCGACAAACTATGTTGTTGCGAACAAAGTCTGTCACTACCTTCTTAGTCACTGCCTTGTATGTTGAAGCTTCGACCCATTTTGTGAAATAATTGATTGCCACCTTAATGAAACGATGCCCATTTGATGCAGGAGGCTCTTTGGGTTCGATAACGTCCATGCCCCAAGCAGCAAATGGCCAAGGGGAACTCATCACATTTAGCTCATTCGGTGGAACCCGTATAAAATCTCCATGCACTTGACACTGATGACACTTTTGCACATACCGGATGATATCTTTCTCCATGGTCATCCAAAAATATCCATCTCTTAAAATCTTCTTTGCCAAAGTGAACCCATTCATATGATGTCCACATGTTCCTGCATGTATTTCTTCCAAAAGTCTTGTCGCTTCTACGGTGTCGACACACCTCAGCAATCCCAAATCCGAAGTTCTCCTATATAGGATTTCTCCGTTAAGGAAGAAATGATTGGCCATCCTCCTCAAAGTCCATTTCTGCTTGCTTGTAGCATTTTCAGGATATTCTTGTGCTTCTATCAATCTTCTGATGTCATAGTACCATGGTTTTCCATCTAGTTCGTCTTCTACATGAAAACAGTATACATGTTGATCATGTATCTCTATATCAATAGGGTCGATGTAATTCTTGTTTGGGTGTTAAATCATCGAGGAAAATGTTGCCAAAGCATCAGCAAACTCATTTTGAGCTCGAGGGACATGCTTGAACTCAGTCCTTGTGAATCTCCTACTCAACTCTTTTATGTAATGCAAATGAGGTAGGATCTTGACATTCTTAGTGGTCCATTCTCCTTGCACCTGATGAACCAACAAGTCAGAATCTCCTATCACTAAGAGTTCTTTGACGTTCATGTCTATAGACATCCTAAGTCCGAGAATACAAGCTTCATATTCCGCCATGTTGTTGGTACAATAAAACCTAATCTTGGCTGAGATTGGGTAATAATGACCTGTTTCCAAAATTAAGACTGCTCATATTCCAACTCCTATAGAGCTTGATGCCCCATCAAAGAACATTCTCCATCCATCATACGATTCTGATATATCTTCTCCTACAAACAAACACCTCTTCATCAGGGAAATAGGTCGTGAGTGGCTTGTAATCCTGATCCACCGGATTTTCTGCGAGGTGATCAGCCAAGGCTTGTTCTTTGATGGCCTTCTGTGTCACGTACACAATATTAAACTCGCTCAACAAAATTTGCCACTTTGCCAGCTTACCTATAGGCATTGGTTTCTGAAAGATGTACTTAAGTGGATCCATTCTTGAGATCAAGTACGTGGTATATGCCGACAGGTAATGACTAAATTTTTGCGTGATCCAAGTCAAAGCGCAACATGTTCGTTCCAACAAGGTGTATCTTGCCTCGTATGGTGTGAACTTCTTGCTCAAATAGTAAATGGCTTGCTCTCTTCTACCTGTCTCATCATGCTGCCCCAATACACATCCAAATGCATTATTCATGACAAACATGTATAATAACAAAGGCTTTCCAGGCTCTAGTGGGACCAATACTAGTGGGTTGGACAAGTATTCTTTGATTCTATCGAAAGCCTTTAGGCATTCCTCTGTCCATTTCGTGGCAGCATCCTTCTTCAGTAATTTGAATATGGGTTCACAGATCACTGTGGATTGAGCTATGAACCGACTAATGTAATTCAATCTTCCCAAGAAACTCATCACGTCTTTCCCGGTCTTGGGTGGAGGTAGCTCTTGGATTGCTTCTATCTTTGATAGATCCAACTCTATGCCTTTCCTGCTAACGATGAATCCCAACAGTTTTCCAGCGGGTACTCCAAATGCACACTTTGCTGGATTCAACTTCAGATTATATTTACGTAACCTCTCAAAGAACTTTCGTAAGTCATCCAGGTGGTCTGAACTTCTTCTGGATTTGATAACGACATCATCCACGTACACTTCAATTTCCTTGTGGATCATATCATGGAAAAGGGTAGTCATGGCCCTCATGTAGGTTACACCGGCATTTTTTAGACCAAATGACATTACTCTGTAACAATATACTCCCTATGGAGTGATAAACATTGTCTTCTCTGCATCATCTTCATCCATCAAGATTTGGTAATATCCTACAAAGCAATCGACAAATGATTGCAACTCATGTTTTGCACAATTATCGATGAGTATATGAATATTTGGAAGAGGGAAATCATCTTAGGACTGGTCCTATTGATATCTCAATAGTCCACACATAATCTGATCTTTTCATCCTTTTTTGGCACAGGCACAATATTGGCTAACCATGTGGAGTAATTTGTAACCTTTACAACGTTCGCCTTAATTTGCTTAGTTACCTCTTCCTTGATCCTTAAGCTCAAATTTGGCTTGAATTTTCTTGTCTTTTGCTTAACAGGTAGACAAGTGGGATCAGTCGGTAATTTGTGTAAGACAATATCAGTGCTTAATCCTAACATGTCATCATAAGACCAAGCAAATATGTCAACATACTGCTTAAGCAATTCTATTAACTCTTGCTTTCTTTCAGCCTCCAAATGTATGTTGACTCGTGTCTCTTTCACGATTTTCTTATCTCCTAAGTTGACAACCTCTGTTTCATCCATATTGAGTTTCTTTTGACTTTCAACCTGCTCGATCTCGTGTGGCAGATTTTCAGGCATCATGCTTTCATCATACTCTTCGTGATTTTGTTCATTATTTTCACCTTGCTCGGTGGATTCGTTACATGTCATAACCGTTGAACGAGGATTTTTATTAATATGAGTGCTGAAAAGTGCAAAAGGTAAGTAAAGATAAATAGATATTTAAAATAACGAGAAATTTTTAAAAGAAAATAAAGACTTTTTATTTCAAAGCATTCTAGCTTTTTAGAAGAGGCAAGCAACAAAAGATTAGGCGTGATTCAAGCCTCAATTTGATCATGCGAATTTTAAAATTAAGACTACTTTTCCACACTACCAGGACTCTGGTTGAAATAGGGATAGGCTGGTGGTCCAATTCTGCAAGATTTCTCCAGGTTCGGCATCACGAATGGTCAACTTGTTGAGATTTATTCCTTTTTCTTCTCCAGCCATGGCCACGAACAGATTGCCTATTCCTTCCACGATGTCATCAACGCCGGCTTGATCTAAAATCAAAGCTTGTTCTGGTACAAAAATTGTATCGCTTGACCCGTGACAGTTTCTTCCCGAGGCAGGCTCATATCCGAGTCCGTTGGTGCCTCTCTGATGCTTTAGCTGGATCGGCTCAACTATGCCATTAGACTTAGGTCCAAGTCCATTCTCAGCTTGATATCCATACTTCAACACCTCTGACGCAACCATTTTCGCTACACTTGACAACTTTGTATTACCTCCCTCTACTTCCTCACCGACCCTTATAGCTTGCATAATTTCCAAAGTGTTAAAGGTAGCTCTATCTAACTTGTCAGCGAATGGGATATAATTAACAGAAAGGATGGGGTGACTGAGCTCTCTGTAGATGGTAACCTCTGTGCGACCCCACTCAAACTTTACACATTGGTGAAAAGTGGAAGGAACCGCTCTTGCCATGTGAACCCATGGTCTTCCCAGCAACAGGTTATAGTTGGATGATACATCCATCACTTGAAATAGGATGGGGAATTCACCTGGCCCCACCTGCAATGTGAGATAGATCTCTCTAATGACACTTCTTTACGCTCCATCAAAAGCTCTAACTTTCACACGACTTTCCTTTATCTCTCCCATATTAACACCTAAATCCCTCAAAGTGGTAAAAGGACAGATGTTGCATCCAGAACTACCATCAATTAGAACTCGAGTCACAACCTTACCACAACACTTGACTGCGATGTGAAGCGCTTTGTTGTGCCCAGCCCCTTCTGCAGGTAGCTCATCATCATGGAAAGAAATCTTATTAGCTTCCACTATTCTTCCAATCGTTGAAGCTAAGGTTTCACTGGTGGTCTCTTTTGGAATATTCACTCCGTTTAACATTTCCATCAAAGCATTCTTATGAGCTTCATAACTCATAAGTAGAGAAAAAATAGATACGTGGGTAGGCGTCTTCTTCAGCTGATCTTCGACTGAATAGTCTTTAGGCTGCATCTTCTTCCAAAATTCTACGGCTTCAGCATCGGTAACATTCTTCTTTTGATTCTGTTCTTTTCCAAGAGCTCTTTGATTTAGATCCTCTGGGGCATAACACCTCCCCGACCTAGTCATCCCTTGAGGCACGACAATGTCAATCATCTTGCCCTTGACGTGTGCTCGATAGTCCCATGGGACTGCTTTGGTGTCATAATCAGGCTTTTTAGCGATCAAAGTGGTCACTACAACTCTTGGAAGATATGTTTGGACAGTAAGAGGTTCCATTAGTTGAACAGTGATAACAGGTTGCGCCGAAAATGTCATGGCATCTGGTTCATCTACGTCTAGACAGTCAGGGCCCCCATATTCTTCATCTAGAGTAACCATGTTGACTTCCCAATTCTCTTGGTTTGGCAAAAGGGTTGTTGTTCACATTGGGAGGTGTTGGAGTGCATTTGATTACTCCTCTTCTGATAAAAGACTCGATCTGGTTCTTCAACCCATAACAATCTTCTGTGTCGTGTCCTTGGATTCCTGAGTGGTAAGCGCATCACTTGTTTCCATCAAAATTACGAGGGACTGGATCAAGAAGTTTTCCTTCAACTGGTTGCAGCACTCCCGCTGTCCTCAACCTCTCAAACAATTAGGCATAGGGTTCGGCAATCAGTGTGTAAGTGCGAGCATTTCTAGCTTCAAGATTTAGATGTGGTCTCGGTGAATATGCTAGTCTATTTTGGTGGATTGGTGATTGGACAGGGACATGTGGTCTTGGAGGATTTTGGTATGCTGGTGCTCAGGGTGGATTATAGTG